AGGATTTAAAAACCCACAAAAAGAGACAAATATACTCCAAGKGTGCATATAAAGCCTTAAAAATTAAAAAGAAAGATGCATCTATAGGAAGACCGAAACAACACATAAAGGAATAACTTTAAGGATGTATATGAAGACGTAAAAAGGCRCAAAGGATTCATATGGAAACAAAGAACAAAAAGAGGCAAAAGGAAACTAAAATGGCATTTTAGTTATATGACAAGAAGGACAGAAAGAGATTTATAAGGGCAAGAATGTTGAATAAAATGTCAGAAATAACAAATGAAAACCAACAAACAAWCATCAAAATGAATACAGAATGAGCATAATCAAATATAAATAGATCAAATATACTGAAATAGCTTTTAAAGCATAAAATTTTTAAATTTTAAAAGTTTAGAAGAGCTCTAAATGCATTGTAGTAAGATTTTTTTACAGCAAAGCAGCCACTACAGAACACAAGCCACTGTATCTCTCACGCAGGTCCCAAGTCTGAGTAAATAACACTTTTGCCAAAACAAACTTGCAARTTTGTCCAAACATCACCATACTGGATTGGTCAATGTCTGTGCTAACTATCTAGTGCTGTTCACAAATATCACTGACTCAGCGTTTAAATAGAACCTCAGTATCAGTAAAACAGATCTTAAAGTAACGAAAGGCTCTGCAACAAAACTGGGATAGATAGCAATAAACGTCAGAATAAAGTTTATGGTTCTACTTGGGGGGACACAGAGGTAAAATAGTCCTGCAAACTTTGTTAAAGTTGGGTCCAGGGCAGGGGCGGAGTGGGGAAACTTTTCAGCCCGGGAGTTTAATGGCCAAGACCGGCCCAATTTTTGTAMATATTAAAAATTAGGCAAAGATGTAGCACTAGCATGTAATATTTTTGTATTTTGTATTCACCGATCAAAACCTGCCTCTTCACACTTCATCAACAACAAAGTAAATGTTTCTGCTGTGGTGCAATAATGTGTACTCAATCACACCTACATGATGTTCACCTGTATTATACTCTGTACTGTGGCAGCTCTTTAATCTCAGGAGTTCAGTTTGACAATCAACCAGTTTCATTGAACACAGTTCAGTTCTGTAATACACAGGTGGTGCACTACAGGTGTGTTGGTTTATTCTCTCTAATGTTAAACAATGAGCATCAGAAGCATTGTAATGTGTGAGGTGGGCATTAGTGGGGGGTCTGGGGGTC